CCCGGTTGTTTTTTTTTTTTTTTTTTTTTATGATGTGAAATCATACATACAAGTAAGTAACTGTGAGATGGAGGACTTCAGAAATGGCAAAGTCCCCTCTAAGGAACCTCAGAAGGGACTAGACAATGGGAAATTAAGCTCAGTGTGACCACAAGTAGTCCCTGACAGGAGGAGGATGCCCACAAAGTACTAAAAGATTCTAACATCTCAGAAAAACAAGCAAAAATTTTTGAGTAGGCAGTTTATAGAGAAATTCATGTAACTAAAATATGCAAAAAGACAATTTTAAACTATTCACAATGAGATGCAAATTAAAAAGAAGATAGGAATGAAAAATGATACACTCTGGAAAATGGCGGGGCAAGTGAGGCTTTAGCAGGTTAAAAAGCATTCTGGCATTACACATATAGCTAAGGAAACTAGGAACAACGTATGTCCACACACAGACACACTCAAATGTTTATAGCAAATCTATTCAGAAAAATCTCAAACTGGAAACAACCCAAATGTCTATCAATTGGTGAATGGATAAAGAAAATCAGCTCAGGGTATATCTACAAAACAAAGAGTACACAGCAATAAATGGGAACAAACTAATGATATATCAAGCACAAGGGGAGAATCCCCCCACAGAAGTGAGTGGAATAAAGACACCAGCCACAACAGGGTGCATGAGCAAACTAAGATGACGCATAGCAGATCAGGGAGCCCTAAGGTGAGGTAGAGGGGAGGAACGACCGAGTCTGTCGGGGTGATGAAAATATTCAATAACTTGATTTGGGTGGTGACTTTATAAAGACTATAGGTATTTGCGAAGATTCACTGCATTGTGCCAATATTACAAGGCTCTGGTCTGAGACTACTTGGAAGCTGATAAAATTTGCTTGCTGCAGTTACATGAATATCAGCAAATCATTGTAAGCCCTCTGAGTTAGAAACAAAAAAAATATGATGCATAACAGCAGAGACAAACTATCAATAACTTCTTTTGCTAACTACCAGCTCATTTCACAGGGTGCTGTGAAGTCAGGTGACATCCAGAGAGAGCAAGTTATCTTACAGCACACAAAGATCTGGCTTAGGAATCCACACCTTAAAGTGAGCAGGAAGCATTCCGGCCTTTTACTCTAGAGGGGGCCATTACAGCCATGTTTTAAAACTGCAAGCACGCCCTCCTAAGTGAAACAGTATTTCAACATCCTCCAAATGATAGTAAGGGTGGGGCAGGCAGGGCTTTTGCAACTAAGGCATATAGTATGCAAAAATCACGACCCACTTTTCTTTTTAGTTTATACATTGAATTTTAATTGTAAGCAAACAACACTCTACAGACAAGGTGTACATACACTGAAAGAAACGTGCTAATGTCTTCCAAAGGATATACACATAGGATGCCCAAGGCAGGTGCAGCTCCACGGATCAGGTTCTCAGTATACACAGGGCATAGGTTCAGTCCCCAGCAACAAGAAAATCAAACCACATCCAAAAGCTGACGAGAAGCAACCAAACTGGAAGTCACGTAACTGAGCCATGGCAATTGGCGAGAAGAAGGTACAAGTGTGCACAGCATGGTTAACCCTCACATGCGATACAGAACTAGAGCGAGTAGGCTTGTGACTGAGCAGTGTCATGAGGAAATGGGAAAGCCTTTCACTGTAGTGACTACAAGTATTACTTCCTAATTTTTAAAACTGTCACTGAGACGTGAGGAAAGAGCGTCTATGAAAGTGCCTGACATCAAAGTACGAACGTATTCTGTTTGGTATCCTATACAACTAACTTCTCTTGGGGCTTATTTTGTTTTAAAATGGACAGTATTCTGCTACATTCTTTTGATTCTGTTTTTGGGTAAACATTCAAATTAAAAGTGTATTAAACAGCCAGCACGCCTTTAATCCCAGCAGAAGCAGGCGGATCTCTATGAGTTCGAGGCCAGCCTGGGCTACAGAGTGAGTTCCAGGACAGGCTCAAAGCTACACAGAGAAACTGTGTCTCAAAAATACAAAACGACAAAAAAAGTGTATTAAATGCTCCTCTTACTCCACAGCTCTTGCAGAATATGCACATATCGCAAAAATACTGCATACGATGACTTCCTTGAATTTGTAAAAGCTTTCTAGGAAGCCTTTACAAAGCGAAAACATGACTCGTAACTGCAGATGCTTGCATCACAGTTTATTTTGGAATGGAGTGACTCTTCTACATTGGTAATTCCTCGGCTCTGGCAAGCCAACAGTGGTGTGCTGAAAGGTGTGTCACCAGTGACTTCCTCCAATAATGCTCCTCACACAGACTGTGAATGGCTTGCTTGAGAACTCAGAGCAGATAAGCAGTAACTACACCACCGCTTGCTCTGTCAGTCCATGGATTTTCTCGAGTGGGAAAAAGCAGTGTAATTATAACTGATGAACAGTTAACAACTGTGCATGTTCCTCCTTAACAAATGTCATGTTCCTTCTCTTGGTCTCCCTGTGAAGACAGAGAGCCTTGTTCAGAGCACTGGCTTTGGTAAGTGTTGTACGCGTGCTTCTTACTAGGGTCTTTGAGAACGCCATACACGCATACAATGTATTTTGTTCATATTCCCCTCTTCCTCCTCTAACTCCTGGATCCACCTGTACACATGTTCTTTAAATCCTCACTGGTATTACGTTTTCGGGTTTGCCCCAAGTAGCACATCAAAGAACTTGAAAATAAAAGAATCCCACAAATACTTGGGTGAGAGTACTCAATAATCCAGTGGTTATTACTATGTCTTTTTTCCCCCTTTGAGAGAAGGTTCTGCTATGTTGTCCTGGCTGGCTATTAACTACTGAGTTCAAGTAATCTTCCTGCCTCAAGCTTTTGGGATCAATAGGGCCCAGAGTTATGTTTAATAGTGGTTCTCAACCTGTGGGGTTGTGACCCCTTTGGGTCAAATGACGTTTCCATGGGGGTTGCCTAAGACCATCACAAAACACAGACATTTATATTACAGTCCATAACAGTAGCAAAATTAGTTATGAAGTAGCAATGAAAATAATTTTATGGTTGGGGTCCCCACAACATGAACTGTAAAGGTTTACAGCATTAGGTTGAGAACCACAGGTTTAATACATAACTATTAAAGTCACCTACACCTAATTCAACCCCCTCGATGTCTGTGCAATGTCACAAGGGCATTTTGTTGACAGGAACAAGAGGTCCTTAGTAGAAGGCTGATATCTTTTGTTCTCTAGTGGCCCTGAGTTCAAATTGCTGACTCCTCAACTGTCCAAACCATGCCTGGTACTAGGTTCAGTTGAGCAGTGGCGCTATTTTTTGAAATAACTTGAGACTTAGGCAAAGAATTGAATCCTGTATTTCCGCTTTCCACGTGTTACATCTTTGACATGACACAAGAACAAGGAATTAAGTTTGTAACATTTTAAAAATTTCAAATGAAAAATGGGGTGGGGTGGGGTGGGGAATGCAGGCATGTAAAGTCTATAATTTTACCAAGAAAAATAGCTAGTGAAAATGCTGCTGGTAGTCTGGAAAATTCTCCACCTACAGCTTCATACTGGGTAAGTAAGTACATATTTCTTACGTTATAAAGCCAGGTTCACCGTGTGGTGCCGGCTGCTGCTTGCCTTCTTCATGTAACACTACAGATTGGAGCTCTGTGAGCACCACAGAGGTTAGGTTTGCAGCCTTGGCCCTCCCTCCTCCCCAGAGGTCTTTCTTGGCCTCTGCTTCTCCCACCCTGCTCTCCTGCTTTTTGTCTCCTCCTTCAGAACATTTGAGACATCTGTAACAGATTGGCAAATATCGTATGCAATGAATCAGATAAATGTTTAGACTTTCCTTACAAAAAGACTGCAAGCCAGATTTGGTCTGCGGGCCACTATTTGTCGGGCCTTATTTTAAAATGCCATATAATTTTCTTATTTTGCTTACTGTTTCTTCAAGGTTGAACTGTGTCCCCTACAAAAGATGCACTCAAGTCCTAACTCCTGGAACCTCAAAACAGGAGCCTCTTTGGAAACAGAACCATTGTTGGGGTAGTCAGCAGAGAAGCCCTAGTGGAGTATGCTGTAGAAGAGTATTTTAAGATGTGTTGCATTTGTATATGCTGTGGAACATTTGTTTAATGATGCAAAGATGTGCTGCATTCTTTCACATTGCACTTATTTAACTCTGTGAAGCTGTGTTACTTTGCCTGTCTAAAAGACTTGATTGGTCCAATAAAGAACTGAATGGCCAACAGCAAGGCAGGAGAAAGGATAGGCGAGGCGGCAATTAGAGAAAATAAATAGGAGGAGAAGTCTGGGAAGAAGAGATCAAGGAACAAGAAAAGAAGGGCCAATCACTTAGCCACACAGCCAGACGTGGAGAAAGAAGTAAAGAAAAGATACACAGAAATAAAAAAAGGTAAAAGTCCAGAGGCAAAAGGCAGACAGGCTAAGTTAAGAAAAGCTGGATAGAAATAAGCTAAGTTAAGGCCAGGCATTCATAAGAAAGACTAAGACTCCGTTTGATTTATTTGGGAGTTAAGTGGTGGGCCCCCTAAAGAGCCAAAAGAGTATAGAGTTAAAAAAAAAAAAAAAAAAGCAAAACACCAGCAGGAGTAGGTAAGACATTAGAACAATATGACTTTTATAACAGAGACACAGAAAAGTGCCTGATGATAGAAGTCAAGAGCCTGGAGTGACTGCAGCTACAAGCTAAAAAATGTCAACATATGGTTACTACAGGAGGCTAGGAAGAGCCAAAGGATTCTTTCCAATCTTAGAAGGACTTAAGGAGAAAATAACATTTCTACAGTTTTTATTTATTTATTTATTTATTTATTTTTCTTTTTCTTAAATAAAATATTTTTTTTAAAGATGTATTTATTTATTATGTATACAGCATGTATGACTGCAGGCCAGAAGAGGGCACCAGATCTCATTACAGATGGTTGTCAGCCACCATGTGGTTGCTGGGAATTGAACTGGAAGAACAGTCAGTGCTCTTAACCTCTGAGCCATCTCTCTAGCCCTATTTATTTATTTTTCAAGACAGGCTTTCTCTGTGTAGCCCTGGCTGTCCTGGAACTTGCTCTGTAGGCCAGGCTGGCCTTGAACTCAAAAATTCACCTGCCTCTGCCTCCCAAGTGCTGGGACTAAAGGTGTGCATCACTACTGCCTGGCATCATTTCCGTAATTTTAAACCATCTGATTTATGGCACTTTGTTACATTAGTCCTAAAAAATGAACACATTGTGTGTAATACCCAAACAGACTGTAAGCAAAGGAGATAGTTTTCTGTCCGTGTTCTTGACATATCTCTAGAATTCAGAACCATATTCTGTATGATACAGTTATTAAAGACACAACAATCAAATGTGTACATAACATATAATACTGCAACTTTTTTGTTTTTGTTTTCAAGACAGGGTTTCTCTATGTAGCCCTGGCTGTTCTGGAACTCACTCTGTAGACCAAGCTGGCCTAGAACTCACAGAGATCCTCTTGCCTCCGCCTCCCAAGAGCCAGGATTAAAGGCATGCACCACCACCTGACTATAATACTTAACTAGTGTTAACTCTCTGTGTGTATACATGCTGTAATTTTGAGAAGTGAATACTAGGGGTATAATTGCTGGGCTATGTGGTAGGTGTTATGTTTAGTTATAGAGCTTCCTAGATGGTATGACCATTTGAATATTCTGCTAATTTTTAATTAGACTTGTTTCATTATTATTAGGTTTGACAGTTTTGAACATATATCTTGTATATAAGGCCTTTGTTAGAAATTTGATTTCTACATAACTGTTCTGCAGTCTATGGCCTGTCGTTTTATAAAACTTCTTAAACGCTTTTTGTTTTCAGTGTGTGCATACATTAGGTTCTTACACTACTTTATAAAACCAACAACAACAAAAACCAAGAGGTGGGCTGTAGTCTGCCTGTTCCCATCTATTTGCTTATTCTCATGTAACTTTTTCACTGTTGTGATAAGTAGTTTACCAGTTTTGAAATATGTAGCTGCTACAGTGTCAAACAAAATCAAAATGTTAAACTAGCAGGACTCCTAGACATTTAATGTAGTGTTTAAAGAAATGATTATTTAAAAAATAGTACTTCTGCACATCAGTAATAACCAACTAAGAAATACAATAGAAAAAAAAACACTACTCATAATAACGCTCAAACACTAGAATAGGAAAAATCTAGTCAGAACTAAAAAGAATTTCACAATGTAAAAATGCAATACAACTTTAACCCAAATAGCAAAGTGGTTTATTATAGAACTTTATATCTCAATTAAAATTTTACATTAAAAATGAGACACTAAGGGCCAATTTTCAAACAACAAAAAGAGGATTTGATGTACCCTCATTCAGACCTGCCATAAAGAATAAAGCACACATGGGCACAGACAACAGACCAGTCAACAGCATAAAGAAAAGAAACTCAAGTATATATAATTGCTTTTAGAATTGGGATGTAGCTTGGTGGTACACAGCATGCCTTCAAGTGTATGACTTTGTTTTGATCCCTGGTACCACAAAACAAACAAAAACCCTCAGATAAATCATAAAGAATTTATAAGCCGGGCATGCAGACACCTGCAAGTCTCAGGGGCTGGGGGTGGGGTGCTGAGGAAGGAAAATCAATTGAACCTAAGACTTGGCAGCTAGCCTGGGCAATACAGGGAAAGTATGCAAAAAAAAAAAAAATCTGTTATGGCATCTCATATTATTCAAAGATATTTTTTGGGACAACTGGTCCTATGAAGAAAAATACAAAAGATATTTTTATTATACAAGCATATTCCGAGTTAATATATTACCTATTCAGTTTCATGAGTACTCTGATAAAAACCTATGTTCTCACCATCATTTAAGACATAAAACATTGCAAATACAATTGATGCCAAACAGTTCTCGGCTGCAGGAAGCTCAAAGCTAACAGGTAAAATATATGCAAAGTGCTTTGGGAACAGATAATATCCTACTCAGGGCTCAGGGGCACTCAGCTATAAAATAAAGTCAGAGTTTCATGAACGGGAAAACTGTATGTTTGGCTGAAGACCACCAATGGGAAGGTCTATGGGCCAGCACTGTGCTCTCTGAAATACAGCTCTGATGAGCTCGGCTTGCACTAGGGGGTGCAGTTGCAGGGGATGTACATAAGACAGAACATCCAAACAAGATGGACTGTGCAGAGGAAGCAGTATGAACCCACTTTATAATAATTAGCCCACTCTTCCTTAGAGCAAAGGATGAAAGTGACTATTAAAGAGAATACGAAATTCTAGAGGCGAGACAGTTTTGTTCTATCGAAAGGAATTCAGTTCTTGCTCTGGTATGAGCACAGTCAGCTTTAAGGCATCAATGGAGTCTCAGCGTACACTAACAGATACAGCTCTCTGATTCGGGAGCAGAAAAACTCACAGAATCCTCTACCTAGCCAGCCACAGAATGAAGTCCTGGTGGCCCTGGGCCACCACAAGAGTTCCTGAGTCTCCATTTACTGCCCTTGCTTGTCAAGTTCCTCATTAAGCTCCTGGTTTTATCCACGTTTTGGTATTCTTGGCTAGCTTTTATCTGCTGGCCATGAATGTGCCCAAAGATGAAGTACTCAGGATCTACTTTTCTTTTAAAATATTTACTTTGAAGACATGTAACTTCAACTAGTACCTTACCTTCAAACCAAATTTCAAGAATTCTGGCTTGAATCATCAATTCTAGTTATGTATCATCTTAGACATCCTGCATCTGATGCAGATCAATTTAATAAATCTCCCCACTTAAAAGTACCTACAAACCAAACACATACAACATAATCCAATACTGTTATCATGGCTTTTTTAATCATAGAAACTTACCCCCCACACACACACCTATAAACAACTCATGGTTTTCAGTTGCTCCAGTCAGGAAAGTCTGCTGTTCTCTGAGCAACCCTTAAAACTTGACTTCTCAGTTACGCATCTTACCCAGACTTCTTCCATGACCTTCTCACTGGCCTCTCTTTATGGATAACTGGACCTGGACCTGATCCCAGCACTTCCAATGGCTCCCAGCCACTCCTCTACCACGAACTCCTCCTACTCCGATCATGGCACTTCCAATACTTGGTCTATCAGAGGACCTAGGAACCGTTCCGTCCACCTGCACTGTCCAACTGACCGCCAATATTCAGTTCTATTTTAAAGTAACAGTAATGGAGGAGGCTGGGGTACAGTCCATGGCAGAGCACTTGCTTCCAATGGGGAAAGGCTGGTTCAACCCAGCCCACTACATAAATAAAACCCTTTCCTTAGATGTCCTTCTCTCAACCTGCTGTGCCATAATCTCAGAGAGAATTACGAACAATCTGGCTTTTTACTCCAATTATGCTGAAATTATTCTTTTAGTTTTCCAACTGCAAAGTAAATATTTAAGCTCCTCGGTTTTCCGTGGCCTCAGCAAATTGGTCCTAACTTTCATCATTTCCATGTGAGCCACACCTAGATGGTAAGCTCAAGTTACAACAAACTTCTAACTTCCTCTCGAACACCTTCTTGAACGTGTGCTTGTACACGCACTACGGTGTGACTCCACAATGCCAGTGCCCTGCTGACTCTGCCTTGTTCTGTTGTTTATAACCCAAGGGAGCATCTCTTCTGTGGAATTTCCTCCACATTCACAAACATCTGTTTCCACTGCACTTTCAGAGTTCCCTAAAAGGATACAAAATGTAGCACTGTAATTACACAACTTCATATACGGAGACTCTTGGAGCGTTTGGTGAACAGCTAAAAGAATGATTAGTTTATGTATGTATGCACATAGGTAAGTGGTACTGATGGACAAGGCATGCAGTATGTAGTGCTGAGGACTGAGCCCAGGGCTGCACATGGTAGGCAAGCACCCTACTATTGGCTACATTCCCAGCCTAATAATGAGTTTTAAAAGAACTGGTATAACCATTTTACTCTGTTGTCATGTAGACAATATGAAAAAGTAACATGTATTACAGCCTGAACTCAGGATATCTAAGCATAAATGTAGAATCTGACGATAATGTCTGTGTTTGGAGGTTTGCCTTTGTGTAGAAGAGGTTAGTGAACCTACTTCAATAAGGCTATGTTCAGAGACTGACATACAAAACTGCATAAGTTACTGGTTATTAAACTGAATACACTGTGGTAACAGCACATGGCAGTCCTTGACGAAGTTCTAGTCTCTATTCTGCCCTCCATTCTATATTTAGAACAGGATCTCTCTAATTTCCCCTTTATCCAAACCTTATCCAGATCTCAAGGCTGACCTCTAGGAAACACACTGACTATTTCAATTCCAATCCTTAAAGACCCACAGCACTTTCTACATCACTCATTATTTAATTGAAACTGCTCTGTCCGGGTAATTTTTTTAAACACGGGTTTGTCAGCATAATTTTGTAAACCTTCAGGAACCTAGACACTATCTCAGGCATCTTTATTAATTCCACAGCAGGCTGAGTGCTTAGTAAAATAATCTCAAAGGAAATCTCACCTGCAATCAAACCACTTTTACAACCAAAAACATGGAGAAAGCTGTGAGAACTTCCATGGTTCTTTAGCAGACAAGCTGCAGATATATCAGGGCCAGGTGATCTGCAGCAAAATGAGGTCTGAAATCCCGGCTAGGGAAAAACCCCTCCTGCTACCGCAGTGCCGTGGGCAACACGCAACTTCCCAGATCGAATTATACTAATGAATTTTCTGTAAGAAATCTGCCAATAGGACAGTCTGTGAGCACAGGATTTGGAGTCATAAATTTTTTCAGCCTGTTCCCATTTCTAAAAAGGAGATACTGTAACAACTACTTCATAGGTATATAATAAGCATTCATCCTACTATTTAACCAAAATGTCACATTCTCTTAGGAAAAATATTTTTAAGTGAAAACACAAAGTCATAAATAAAATAGAACAAAATGTCCAGTTACATAAATAAGAACGTTGCATTAAATTAGCAGGTAGCAGTGTTTGTAATATTTTAAATAACCATGTCAATAATACAGATGAGAAGAGTGAAAAAAAATTCTACCATAAAGTTTATGCTTATCTGACATCATCCCCTTGCAATTTTTTTTTCTTTCACTTGTGAGTAGAAGCAAATGGGCACAATTATTCCCCAAAAGAAACCTGCAGAAAACACAATTAAATCTACTATCAGATCAGTCCTATAAATATAGCACTCCAGTTTAGGGCTCAAAAATAATTCGGAATGTCAAATATGAACATGAACTTGGGAGATTAAGGCGATGGCGATCATCCCCTCCAATAATGAGTCAGGAAGTTCAAATTAAGAGATGTTCCAACTGGAAGCTGGCAGTCACACATGGTCTGAAAGGGTTTGTTTACACCCCTGACCAGACCAAACAGCTTAAGCTTTCAGGATTTACCCTGACATTCCAGTATCAACTGTCTACTTTGAAGCAGCACAGCTGGAGGAACATCCCATAACCATACAAATTAAGCCCAAATGAGCTTCCTTTTGATGGAAATAACAACAACAATAATAAAAGGAGCAGTGGGCCCAGCGTTCGATGTTATTTCTGTTTGGAGTTCTGAATTAAAACGTCGTTCATCCAGGAAAGAAGAGAACCAACCCTCTGCTACTTGGAAAAGTTAACGCTTAGGAGAAGAGGTGAAAACGTATAAAGACAGATGGGATTGCGCTCCGGATGGAAAGGCACGCGGGATTTACTAGGAAGGGACCAGAGGGAGCGTTAACATTTATAATCCCTGAACTTGTCATCAACGCCAAAACCTTGCGATGTCTGGGTGAAAAGTTCGCTCTGGGTAAGAGAAATCCAGAGCAGGGAGTGAAGAGTCACGTCTGGGGCGGGTGTTATTTCAGGGGACACCGAAGACTAGACTTTTCTGGGGCCATGTCGACCGCTGGTTCAGGGGACGGGGCACGGGAGCTGGGAGGACGCGGGACGACGGACGCGGTCATCCAGGACGCGCGATCCCGAGGGAACTTTGGGGCGGGGGCTCCGGAACTGTGCGTCAGGAACCCGGCTGGAGGAGACGAGTGACGAGGCCCGGGAAGTGGGAGCCCGGGAGCGGGGAAGGAAGGAATGCGGGGATTCCCGAGCCGGCCTGACCAGCTCCGGGCGTGCGCCGAGCCGCTCCAGCCCGGCCCCGCTGGGCCCCG